AGCTTTGATTATAATAGAGGAGCTGTTGTTATTTTAAAGAGAATCAACCTATTAAATAGGCATTAGTTAGGTAAGATGACACTCATGGGGGCAACTTCAGCTACATGCTAATGGAAAGCATTCACTTTTATTCAAGGAAAGCTCCACCTCTTTGAAAATACATACTGCCCTTCTCCTTTTCCCCACATAAAAAGAGCCAGCTGTATAGAAGTCAACAAATTATAGACCAGCCAAATGCTTAGATGTTTAAGCATACTTGAAACTTGAATATATTTATTACAGACATCCAAGGACCCGTAAACTCTGCTCTGGATCACATTACTCCAAGATCTCAGAGCTGTTCATGATTGTACAGGAATGGGGAGTGTCATAGGCTCACAAAGGATAACTGATAGAACTCAGTGTAGTACTTCAGTGACATCAAAACATTGTGCGACATGCAAAAGACTATTCACGAATCACACAAAATATACATTCATTGTGCCATCCATCACATTAACAATTGAGCTTTGAAAATACATCATAACCAGCTAAGATAACTGTTGGTTTAAATAATACCTCTACTACGTTTAGAATAACCCAAAACAAATTGTGAGTGGAAGATGTCCCCAGAAGAAAAAGGTAGGAAGGGGGGGGAGACTTAGCACAGGAAACCAGGTTTCTGAACCTTGTGCTCTGCAGGCCGTCGTAACTAACTCAAAGAACAAACTGAAGCTACCCTCTGAGGCATCTGATGGGTTTAAGTGAGGGAATTTATTCTTTCACCTATAATCATGTATAAAATTGTTCCAGTTTTGAGAGTTTGCCAACCCTGTTTCACTTACCTAAACATTTCTAGAAAATCTGTATAAAGATAAATCTCTCATGACAAAGTATTTACAACCAGCAAACTCACACACATGAAATTGAATTAAATTAAGGGATGAATTAAGTGTGTAAACACATAGTGCATCTCTTCTTCATGAGCTCCAGGACTTTCTCCTTTCTCTACATTCTACTTTTAAGGGCAAGGTAGGGGTGAACTGTAAATATACAGTTAGATTAAAAATGAGAAGCTTCCCCCTGGCATGTTTCTGCTGGCAAAGGGAACTATTTTCCAAAGGGCATCTGAAGGGAACAGTAGGTTCTGTGAAAATGTCCTAAGAGTGGGAGGGCTGTTAAGGCCCACCAGAAAATTGATGCTGGCACCCAATCCGGATTAAGTGACTAAACCGTCAACAAGTCTCTGGTCAGAATTCTCTAGAAACACATTATCCTGACCAGGAGCTCCACAGATAGGATCAGGAAGGAAGAAGAAGACTGTAAATGGAAGGAAAGATAAGCTAAAAATGTGCTTTGGGTAAGAAGCTCCCAGCCCAAGGGGCTGGGTGCCTCAGTGGGAGGTAGTCAGAGTGTCTGAGGTAGAAGACCCCGGGGAGGGAACGCAGGGTGATGAGCCGGACTTCTCTGAGGATTCCTCAGCCTTCTCTTCGCTTCCCGGAGGGGTGGCCGGGGAGATGGGCAAGAGCCCCTCCTTCTCGCGTTTCTTCTGCTTCATTCGGCGGTTCTGGAACCAGATCTTCACCTGGGTCTCGTTGAGCTGCAGGGATGCCGCGATCTCCACCCTGCGAGCGCGGGTCAGGTACTTGTTAAAGTGGAACTCCTTCTCCAGCTCGGTGAGCTGCTTGGTAGTGAAGTTGGTGCGCACCGCGTTGGGTTGACCCACGTAGCCATACTCTCCAACTTTCCCTAGAGCAGGGTAAGAAACGATGCAAACGGAAATATTTTATAATCTATGTAAGATCCCTTCCACGCTTGAAAAGGTAAACAATGAAATGGTAAAAATTTAAATAGATAGGAGATCCCCTATACACTTCAGAGCAACATTCAGGTAAAGGGGAGATCAAGACAATCTCTACGCAAAACGGGATGGGAAGGGTGAGTGATGAAGTGTAAAGTGTTAACCTAAAGTCAACCATTAGCGTGGCTAGACCAGTGATTAATGGAGCCTGAAGATATTAACACAACAGAACTACCACCACCACACACACTTCCGACTTCCTGAACATCTAAAATCTTTTGAAAACAAACCAGTCCCTTAGGATGCTTTGCCCCAACGTACCTGGGCACTCTCCCCACTCCCTACAACGCTAGTCAGATGCAAGAACCGCTTTAGAAAAATTACTAATTTTACTTAAAAGCTACCCATACTAGCTCCTTCCAGATTCATCACGGAGCATCCATCCGCCTGCTGGCAGGACTGACCTGTTTTGGGAGGGTTTCTCTTGACTTTCATCCAGTCAAAGGTCTGCGCTGGAGAAGACGTCTCAGACACAGGGGAGCGACAGGCTTCTTGGTGGCTGGCGTGGAGAGGGGACAAGGAGTTACTATACGTGGCCAGGGCCAGGCTCTGATGCTCTTGTCCATATGAGTGGTGAATGTACTGGGGCGAGCCCACCGCGCCCCCAGCATAACCCTGGTGGTGGTGGTGGTGGTGGTGATGCTGGACCATGGGAGATGAGAGATTTCCAGTGTAAACGGCGGGAGCACATGGGGGGTACCCACCACTTACGTCTGTTTCCTGATTTAGCGCATAGGGGCTATAAGGCGCACCGAAGTTCTGCGCGCCGTAGGTTGGACCACAACTCGAGTGGGAGTAGGACACCCCCAGGTTCCCGGAAGTCTGGTATGTGGCCGGCTGGGTATGGTGAGTGTGGTGGTGGTGGGGCGAGTTGATCTGCATCCCCCTGCCCACTAGGAAGCGGTCGTCGCCGCCGCAGCTGTTGGCACTGACCGCGCACGACTGGAAAGTTGTAATCCCATGGTCGGATGAGTAGGCTCGCGCTGAGCAGGTCCCGGAGTCGCCACTGCTGAGAATGGGGTATTCCAGGAAGGAGCTCATTCTTGCATTGTCCATCTGTCACTGACTGACCCGATCCTGCGAAGCCCTGGGTGATCGTGCCAACTTTCTCACTTCCTCCATGGGGCCGGAGAAGAAAAATGATATGAATGTACAGTGCGCAAGGGGGGGGCGGGAGGGCGGAGGGAGCTAGGGGAGGGGCACGTGACTTTGTCAGCCAATGGCTGAGCCTCCTGCGAAAGTTTGCGGGCTTCGGGGGTGATGGATCACCGTTTCTGTGGCATTTAAATCCCCGGCGCTCCTCCATCTAGGTGACGCGCAGTCGCCCCCCCAGGCAGCTGCGGCCACCGCAGCAGCTGCTGCGGCGGCAACAGCCGATTCCGAGTGCTAGGGCGGAGAAGAGCAGAAGCTGTCTTCTGCGCGCGCCCGACGCCGCTCTCCCCCCTCCGGGAGGTGGAGGCTGAGAGGCATCCCCCGCCCCTGACCCTCTCCCCGCCATGCACAGAAAGACGAACTGGAAAGAGGTGAGAAGGGAAGAGGGCTCCGGGCTTTCTCGGGGCGGGAATCAGTGGGTCAGAGGCTGGTTGGCGACAAGGCCACTGGCCGAGGCTGGAGCGAGCCGAGCAAGAAGGGTGGGAATCTGTCCGATACTGTGCCTACGTTCCTAGGGCGTTTCTACTACTCTGAGGCCCTGTTGGTAGGCCGTGTGGCTCTGAGGAGCTCCAAGGACCAAGGAGGGCGAAGCTGGGCCACCAGCTCTCCACGCTCGGCATGGAGAGGGAAGTGCGCAAACGGCTGGCTGGGAGGAACCGAGGTGGGCGTGGAAGAGAAGAGGGTCAGAAAAGAAACTTCCTTCCTCCATGGAGAATCTCCAAAACCTTCTCTCCACAACCCCTGCTGGCTATTAGCCTGGCGGAGAAGAGCTTCTGTAATTTTACCCCTGGGGGCGGAAAGGCCCAGAAGCCTAGCTAGCCGGAAAAGGCCATGGATGGTGGAGCATCTCTCCGCCCTCCCTCTCTCCTAGCTCTCCGCCCCTTTCTCCTCCCCACTCAGCTTTGACCCGGGAGCCCTCAGGGATCTGGAGCAACTCAGCGACTGGATTTTGAGGGGTAGGAGGCGGGGGAGAGAGATGACGCGGCTAGCGTAGGGGCCCAGCCGCGAGCTGCAGGCCATCTGCTAGCTCTGCAAGACCCAGGAGCCTGAGTGCTCCCGCGCGGCCTGAAAGGGCCGGACCACAGCTCTAACTAAGTATGCTAAATTCTTCCCTCCATGTTTCTCTTCTACTGGAGGGAGATATTAGGAATGGGACAGTCTCCTCGTATCACCACTCCCAATTCTATTGCATGTTTGGAGTGGGGGATGGGGACTGGAAGGGGAAGGGGGTGGACAGATGGCTAATGGTGGACACTTTCCTCTTCCCCAACGACACCTCCTCCCCTTGCCAACTGGCTTTATAGTTGCTTGTGTGAACCTTTACGTCCCCAGAGGGATTCGTGCAAATCTGATCGTCCCCAGAGGGATTCGTGCAAATCTGAGCGTCATCCCAGGCCAGGGGTCCTGTTCTCCATCACCCTCTTTCTACTTGATGCTGAAGGGGTCATTAATTGCTGTTTACTATTAGGTTTTGCGTCAATCCTGGGCTTGTAGAGGGAAAAGGCCAGAGAGCAAGAATGGATGCAATCCTGGGTAGGAGAAATCCAGAGATCATTCAAGAAACCTTGCAGCCAATGCTGTGTAAATTTTAATCCAACCATGTGTACAACACTGAGCTCACACAGATGAAATTTATAGCGACTATTATATATGGGTTTAAGGTTCCCACTCCCCTCCAGCTTTCCCTCCCCTGTTAGAAAAAGGAAGTTTTGCTGTAGGCAAGCACATTTCAAATGTGTCACCCATGCAGGTGTCTGTTCTGTTCGCTACGTATAGAACTTCCCTCAAAACTGTCCCCTGAAGAGGGAAAACCTGTGCAGACCTTGACTCTAGATTCTCTAGGTAGCAATGAAACATTTTCTCCTTTTGAAATGGTATTTCTCTGTGACCTTTGACCCATCCCTAAGCTGATTAAGAGGGAGCTGGGGGAGGAAAGGTCCCCTTCTTCCCCAAATTCAGCTCCAGGGAATCCTCATCCTGGAGAAGGGTAAAAGCAAGGCAGCCCTCCTGGAGGGGGTTTCCTTGCTTGCAAGCGCCAAGCCTCCAGCGAAAGGGAGAGAGGAGCTCTTATGGGGGAGAGGGGGAGACATGAGGAAGATGGGGCTGGCAGTGAGGACGATCCTCTCCAGGCCAAAGCCAGTTGGTACATTCTCCTTCCCGCCCCTTGCCTCATTCCTATACCTCTATTAGCCTCCTGGGCCGGAATTTTCAGGACCCCTAGGCTGCAGGGCTCCCGCCACAAAGCTGCTCTTTCTCCACTGCTAGTTCGCCGCCTCCGCACTTCTCTCCCTCCACCTCTCTTCCGGCTTCTTTGGGGGGAGGAGGGAAGCCTGGGTGGGGTATTTTTCTTGGAATCATAAGCGTACAATCACACCTAGGCCCACAGACACACATGCCAGCGACTGTCCCGCTTCTGCGCCTGCTCTCGGCTCCCACAGGCCCGGCGCTCACTGCCGAGCCGGCTCCACCTCTGCTGACCGCCCAGAGCGCCGCTCTCCGGGAGCTGCTCACAAAGGCAGTCTCCGCTGGCCTCCAGCCGGTAGGCTTCCATAGCTTGGTTCCTTCTCCCACGTTCCCCACCCCCAAGAAATGCTGGGGTCCACTCCGCCGGGTAGGAGACCCTTGGTTCCCTGCTTTAGTAGGCCGGCACCCCAGGACTCCAGCTAGTCTCTCAAACACCCTGGCCGAGAGTGACGGAAAGGAGAGCTTGCTCAGCTTGGTCTCAATTAAAATGCTCATCTGCAAGCCCTAGCTTGGCTCAAAGCATCTCTTTCAGGGCTCTTCTATTAGAAAAGGAACGAGGAGGAGACAAAACGCCACCAAGGCCCGGAGCTGTTCATGGCATCCGCAGCTCAGCTAAGCTGTTGTTTTAAAAGAGCAATAAAAATGAATTATGACTAAACGCCTTCTAACTTAATGCTTTCGGACGGGGATCCCCAGCAAATACGTAAGAGGATTTTTATTTGTGCATGTGTTCCTGCAATTGATCTCTTTGATGACATTCTCATTCATAGAAAGCGTTTGATTTATGAGCGTAGGACGAATCGCATCCAGGAGCGGCGCAGCCCTGCCCCGGGCCTGGACGCCCTGCTCGGCGCTGAGCCTGTGGCCGGAAACCGACCGCAGTCTCCACACCCCTCAGCTGCTGCTGAGATTTAGCTGATTAAGGAAGGCGTGAGGGAAGATAGGGAGCAAACCAAGATCAGCGATGTTTTTGTAACTTCCAAGGCTTTGCTGTTAAAAGCTGGCTTCTTAATCAACCCGCCCCACACACATGTTGCTTATATATGCTTCGTTTTCTCACGGTAAGTAGCGATCAGAACAGAGGTCAGAAAGGGAAAAATAAGTATGGGGAGACATAGGAAAACGGGGGTGGGAACAGAACAACCCAGTAGCACACCCTAGACCACATTTTATTGATATTTCATTTAAAGTGCTTTTTCTCTCTATAGAAACTGTGTGAATTTATAACCTAGGGTGCAGAAATACTCCATTGAAAATCTTTACTTGCTAACCTGACAAAGCTTTAATGATCCATTATTAGCAATGTAAACAGATTTAAGAATGAAATATTGATTTTTCTGACCCTGAAAAAAAAAAAAGAATCCTACAATAAGTGAACCAAAGGGTTGGAAACAACCTATTCTGAAGTGCAATTTCCAGTTAGTAACCATTGCTTTGTTTTGTTTTTGTTTTTCTCTGTCTTTTAGGTCTGTTTTGCCTGAACCTATCAACAGCTGAGAGATTAATCAACCACTGAGAATGTGCAGGGATTTATGGGGAAGGGGGTTGAAATGTAGATGTTTGAAACAAACATGTATAAAAGTGTATAAATAAATGACTTGTTGATAACTTAGTTATTGACCTGGACACTGGTAGCTTGTTAAAGAAACCCTATGTTAGTCATTCCTGGAGTTGAGGGTTTCTGTAGGCACTTTTATTTCTTTATTTTCAAGAGGAGGTTGGGCCTGGCTCAAATCTTAGGCTGCCCAATCTTGTTTCTATTACCAATTTTAATCTATGGCTTGATCCTGTACACTGAAAACCAAATTCATTCATTTCAAAATAAAAACAAAACAAAACACTTGTCAGAAGCCCTAGCCATTTTCTGGCTTGCCTTTTCTGCTTGCTTTTGGGGACTTTGAACATGCCGCCTTAATAAATATACTAAAATTGAAAAAGAAGATAAATTGTGACCAGAATTTTATTTACCAAGTTAGACTAAAAGAAGTAAAAGAAACTGTTATGAGCCTTGAGAAAGGGGGGAGAAAAATAAGAAAGCTACTTATAGCAAAGGAGAATTTATTCTACCAAAAATAGGCATGACAATGCATCCTAGTGTAATACAAAAATAAAAAGAAAGTGAAGATACAATTATATGATCACTTTCTTGCAGGCCTTATGTATTGCTCCAGGAAACACATAGAGGGTTCTTGGATTAAGTTTAAAACAACTAAAACTCCCAAATAATCCATAAGAGATGGCTCTGAAACTAGGTCAGGGAAATCACTAAACAGAAATCCTCAACGTTTTAAGGAGGGAGAGGGTAGGTTAAGAAGAAAATAAAATAAAAATTAACTCTTGGAATAAAAGAAGGCAAAACCACCTAGTCAAGGGGTTTTTGTATTGTGATGCTGTTGTTTTGCTTTAATGTTTTTAGTAATTCAGATGCTGCAAGTCAATTGTGGTGAGTGTATCTGTAAAAAAGTCAAAGCTGTCAGCTGAAATATCTACAGGACTGTCGAGGGAACCTGGCAAACTGGGCGAGACTGCATCTGAAAGCTGCAGGCAGGAATCTGTGGAGAAAACGTTAAAGTCCTGCAAAGAGGGGACCTCAAGGGCCTCGGGACTGTCATTGTTTAGGCCAGCTCCACAGTTCTGGCCCATTGTTGACAAGCAGTTAGGAACAGTGGGTGACTGGTGCTGAAAATGTTTCAGATTTTTCTCATTGCTGGTTAAAGGAGAAACTGGGAAACTTTGGGAGTCGCCATTGTGTCCATTGGGAGCCTGCTGTTGAGAGAGGGCATTTTGTTGAAAAGTGTAACCTTCCCTCTCCAGAAGGGCCCCGGAGACGCTAAGGGCTTGCTCAAAGAGCGACTTCTCTTCCTCGTCCTCCTCTACTTTCTCGGAGTCCTCAAGGCTTTTAAATTTCCCTTCGCTGTTTTGGTTTTCCTTGCACTGAGTCTGCCTCTTGTGTTTCATCCTCCGGTTCTGAAACCACACTTTCACTTGTCTCTCAGTCAAATCCAGAAGCGCTGCAATCTCCACCCTTCGGGGTCTGCAAAGGTACTTGTTGAAATGAAATTCTTTTTCCAGCTCTAAAAGCTGCGTGTTGGTGTAAGCAGTTCTCAGGCGCCGCGATCCCCCGCCGCTGCCATCGGCGATTTCCAGGGATTCTGCGGAAAGGGAAACCAACAAGAGACACAAGCACAGTTGGAGGTGGTGGGGTCCGAGCGAGGTTATTCCACTGGAGAATAAATATAGCAGAAAAGATCAACTGCAACAAAATGGCCGCCCCTGGATGCAGAAGGGCTATTGTGCTGCCTTTCCTGGGAGCCCCCAGCCTTGGGAGACCCCATCTCCTCCACCTCTATCAAATTCATGCCTGAAGCTCCCCCCAAACCTCTTCATCCGGGAGCAAACTTTATATTAGTCACAACACAATTTATAATTAATGCATCAGCTGCTTAGCTGAGCAAGAGCGATCTATCACTCTTCATTACTGTCAAAAAGCCAAACTCTAGGACAACTAGACAAGAGGAGGTCAGTTCCAACTCAAATAAATCATCCCACATTACACAAGTTAAGGAAAGTTCCCCCCTTCTTAAAAAATATATACCTCATGGTGGAGGACAGAATCCCCTTCCCTCTCCATCAAACCCACTCCTGAGCCCACAGGGGCAGGGAAAAGGCAACCGAGCCTCTCTTCCTCTCCCCCTTCTCTCCCAACGCACGTTCCCCTCCCCCCACAACCGCTCCCGGGGCAGCCCAGAGAGGGAACAGGATCCTGGGGACCTGGGGCCAAGTCTTTGAACTGACCTTTGTGGCTGAGGCAAGCAGGGCCGGTGGTGGCGGCGGCTGCAGCCGGGGGCAGCGCGGTTTTCTTGGCCGCCTTCTTCTCCTTCATCCAGGGGTACTCGGGCGGCTGCAGGGCGCCGGCGGGCAACGGGCTGCCGCGGCTGCCCGCGGGGCTCGGCTTGGGGCGGCCGCCAGCGCCGTGGCGAGGGTGACTGCCCGGGTTCAGGCTGGGAATGGTCTGCTCAAAAGGAGGAGGAATCAGTGTCGAGTGTGAAAGCGTCGAGGTCTTGATTGATGAACTTTGAAATGTATCAGCGACAGGGGGAAAAGATGTCAGGCACTCAGCGAGCGACGGCTGGCTATTGATAAAACCAATCTCTCGCTCAAATTCGTAATTCATGGCCTTCTCCTTGGAGCCCCCTCGGAGAAAAAGTTCCCTCTTTTGGAGGGGCTTTGGGGGGGCAAGGCCCAGGAAAAAGGCAAGCGCGGAGGAAAAAAAAAATCTATCATAGAAGATCGCTGCTGGGGTGTTTTTTTTCTAATTCACTGATTACAGCCGTATGGGGACCGCGCTACTATTAAACTATTGAATTCATGGAGACAAGGTTGAAATTGGACCGAATTGGCTGTCACATGATTGCTTCTGCCCAATGACAATTTGGGCTTTAATCAAAAGAAGCCACTGTCTGTTTGATTGATCCAAAAAAGTCGGGAAGGAACGCCTCATTGGGGGCCAGCGAGGCTTTATTTACACTTTTTTATGGCAAAAAATACATATAGTGGGTGTGGGTAGGGATGCTCCAGAGTGCGTGGGGGCGAGGGTGCCTGCCCACCTCCTAATCAGCAAGGATCTGGTGTGTTGAGAGTGTGTGTGAGTGTGTGTGAGTGTGAGCTTGCTGCTGGTCCCGCCAGTGGCTGCCCTCTGCCTCCCCCGCACACTCCAAGCATTGTTTGGGACTGTCGGGAAGACGCCTTGCACCTCACAAATCATTTAAGCACCTCAGCCTGACGCCTGTAGTCATTAACAAAGTAATCCATTAATCTTCAAAGTTTTGACACCCGAGGGCCCCCACATCCCAGCCACATAAGTTCTGTTAAGGCAAGAGGAAGGAGCAGAAGTAGAGAGGAGGTGAGAGAGGGAGAAGAAAGAATAAAGGAAGGAGAGATGGAGAGAGAAAGAGAGAGAGAAAAGAAAGATTGGGGGGATTTCCCTTTTCTTTCCCTTTCCTCCACTTTTTTCTAAAACCAGTTCCTGAATCTCAGAACTGACATCTCCCTCTCTCTCTCTCTGTTTTCCTTTCTGCCTTTCCCTCTTTTTCCTCTTCTCCCCTTTCCCCCTCCCTCTCTCTGTCCTGTCCGCCTCTCCTTCTCCCCACAGCTACTCGCCCCCCTCCTAATGTCCAGCCCAAGTCTGAGCCCCCAGCCCATTGTTAGCCGGCTATTCCCGGGCAGCTTTGCGTCCGCCTCCAGCGGGAAGCGGAAAACCGGAGGAGGCTCTCGAAGCTTCCTGACCTTCCTGCGCCATCAACTTCTCAGGAGTGGCTCCAGAAAGATAGATGCCTGAGCCAAGAGAGACAACAACCCCAGGTCCATGTGTCCAAATCCCCGTAGCCAGGGCGGCGGCCAGCCAAAGAAACGCCGCCCAGAGAGGGCGCGTGCGACTCCTGGCTTTCTGGGTTTCATACCCGTAGGGCTCGGGTGCGGTGAGTATTTCGGTGTTCCAGGAAGTCTGTTGGAAGTTACCAGCAGGGAAGAAGATGCTCTTTTCTCTCTCTCTCTCTTTCTCTCTCTCTCTCTCTCTCTCCTCTCTCTCCTCTCTCTTTCTCTCCCACCCTTCTCTTGTCCTAGTCGCCGTAGATGGGGGCTGGTTGGTTCAGATACAGCGAATGCTCCCTGGCAGCCCAAATTGCCTCTCACACCTTCTCGCTTTTGGGCGCCAGGGATGTTTGCACCCAGGTTTTGTCGCAGGAAATAGCTCTGCGGGGGAGAGGTGGCGACCCAAGGAGGAATTATAAAGGTTCTTGTTCTCCTTCATTCTCTCTTTTTTCCAATTCGGAGACTTGAGACTGAAAGCATCTTGGATGGTGCTGGAGGGTTCAAAAGATAACACCTTTAGGTACCAGGCAATAACTTTTCAGCAATCCACCAAGCCATAAAGAGGGGAGGAGGCTGAGAGACAGAGATCCTAAGGTACCGTTTTCACTTCCCCCACAAACCCTGAGGATGGTGATTCGCTTTTGCTTCCTTTGAAATGGACCTAGTGATCAGACTCCCCCAGGCCGGCAGGCATCAGTGGCAGGAAAATAAATCATTCTGATGGTCAAGGAGAGAGAGGTTGGCAGGGGAGAAAAATCTATGTAGAAAACAAGAAAGGCTGATTCCATCTCTAAGGCCGGCATCAAAGGGGGTTTGGGTTGGAAATTAGATATAAAGTGGCCTACTTCGTTGACTAGCCCAGAGCATTGCCTCACAGATAGGGATGCTATTTTGGAAAATGTGAGGTTTTTCAGTTTTCTTGCTTTTATTCCAAACAAAGCTCTGAAGGAAGTCTGGGCACGATCAATCTTGCTCACCAAAAGCCTTGACAGCTTCTAGCCCTTAAGAACACATTTCAGCTTCGAAGCTCTTTCCAAGATCAAATGTGGCTGAGGAAAGAGAAGAGCAGGAAACGCAAGTAAACAAGAAAAACTAGGCTTAAAAAAATTTTTTCTGGGCAATGGAAAGGGTTATAGGGCTGCTTTTAGGAAAGGTGCTGTGTGGACTTTGGGATGGAGGCTTTGGGCATTGCTTCTACCAGAAAATATGGAGGGACGAAGGGGAGGGGAGTTGCAGAGATCAGTGAGCAGCGCTGCCCCCATATCTCTGAGGCTTTGTCAGGAGCTGCTGCGTGGGTGAGAGCTTTCTGCCCGCTTCAGCCGCCTTAATTCAAATACCATCTGGAAGAAAACCCTTTTCTTTGACCACTCAACACTGAAATCTTCCCCAAATCTATCACTTTAACTCAGAAGATATTTTAATAAGGATTTCTTTTTAATATCTAGAAAGCTGGGGGTATGATCGATATTTTTTTCTTTGAAAGCCAAAATGAATGTCTTGACTAGCAAGATAGGAGAAATCGTATTAGAATCTCATTTAAAAATCTCTGCCCTGAGGGAAGGAGGAAGCCTCCAACTCCAAATCATTCTTCCCTCAGCCAAAGAGTAAATTTTAGAAATGGGTTCAAATAGTGGTATTCCTGAAAAGATTTTCATCTTTGGGTGGAAATATCTCTCTCTCTCTGTCTCTCTCTTTCTCTCTCTCCTCCTCCATCCCCTCATTTTCCCAGGTAATGTTATACATGTCTCTAAAATGATCACTTAAAAGAAGACCTCTGTGTCTACTCAGCATGAACAACCAAAATACGGAAGCTTCAGTCCTTACAAAGACTGGCTGTTCAATCTCTGCATTTCTGAGGTGCACCACATTTCAGCAGGGATGTTGGGGTGGGGGAAACAAATTCACTTCTTCCATAGCCTAAACTCTTTAAAGAGAAAAATGTATTATCAGGGACCTCAGGACAGATATGGGGAAAGCACTTTTGGATGTGAGAGAAACATTCAGCTCTCTGCAATGCCTGGCTTTGCATCCTTTTTCTTAAAACATGAAGAAGTTCCCTAAAAGCTGTTCATTGGAACCCAGCAGGTATCCAGATACGGCTTGGGGGCCAGCTTCTAAGGATCATCTGAGGGAGCTTCTCAGGGGGGAGACAGAGGCCATGATGATGGATATTTTGGATTGCAAACAAAATGGCGACATTTTTCACTTCTGTCTCTGCAAGATACAATCCAGGGAGAATGGGGTTTATTTCTCACGTCAGATGCTCCTGATCCCCTGTGAAGGCAGTTTCTCACTTCCAACTCCGAGGGAGATGATGATGAGGATGCAAATCTGAGGTTTGCATTTTTGGAATTTTGTTCCTTCTCTGAGCAATTCTTCAATTTGTAAGATGAAAATAATTCCCTTTACTATGCCTTGCCTTTGCCTCTCTCTACCAGCCAGTGAGTAGACAGCCCTATCTTGAATCCAGGGGTGGAGATGTAATATTTAGCTCCTGTAACATCAAATAAAAGAAGAACTTATAAAATTGCGTTTTTATTAGAAAGATACCAATCTCCTTACTCTCTCCCCCTCCCCCTGGGGCCATAAAAAGAAAGCTGGGAGGGAAGAAGGAGATGAAATAAATCCAGAGACTGCCAAATACTAAATTCAGGAGGAAGCTGATGTTGGGATTCAGGCAGCACAGGGAAGAGCTCACAGCCTTCATTTTGCTGGAGACCTGGGTGAGCCTCAGTCCTTTGCAAACTGCTTCGCTCTGCGATGGATCTTAGAAGCCGTTCTTTTCTCCTGGCGCGATACAGGGCCGCAAAGCATGACCACAAGTCCGATGGTTACCGGAAAGTGCTTGGCATCCTCTGTGCGACTGGCTGTTCTTCAGGTTAAGGCGTTGGCTGGCCCGCTTTGACCCTAGGAAGAGCGTGGAGGAGGAGAAAGGCCTGCCTTATTTCCCGGCGGGGCTGCCCAGCACCTGTGAGCTCCCCGCTGTGCTTTGGGCTTGACTGCCTTTGTTTCTTCGGCCAACAGCTCTCCGCAGCCCCTGCGCCCTCAGCCTGCCTTGGTAGCAGCTGGGAACCAGGCAGCCCAGCGGGCCCACGGCACGGCGTTACCAGAGCTGTCGCCGCCAGGAGTCCCAACCGAGGTCGCAAAAATTCGCGGAGCTTCCAGGCTTGCCGCCTTGCCGGCCCCAGCGCCGGAGCCGGTGGGCTGGCGCGCACGGCCTGTTCGCCCGCTTTCCTGTGCCTAAATTCCACACAGATCCTCCTTTCCGGCCAAAGAACCCCTTCTAAACACGGATATTATTCAGAATAAAAACTTTATTTTTTGTTTTGTTTCTCAGAATATGAGCAGCAAGGAATGTAGAACTCTCAAAACAAATCTAGTATTTTTCGCGTTTACAGACTTTTTTCATTTTTGCCGGATGTTACAAACCTAAACCACTGTTTTCAAAAGCTGGATCCTCTCTGGTTTTATTGCATCATTACCGTTTCATAAAGGAATTATATTTCCCTTTCAAATAAAAAATTTTCTAGGTACGCCAACACACCATTGAACAAAAGGCCCAAGAACCCTTCTGAACAATCAGGGTACAGAATTTCTTTAATATAAATACAAACGGATGGGGATAAATAATATTTAAAACTTAGATTATTCAATGCTTGCAAAAAAAATATAAATAAATCTGACTGTTCACCAGCATACACACACGGAAAGACGTACACTTAATCATCCTTGCACAAGGAACCCCTGTTTCAAAGCGCCTTTGATTTTTTTTCTCGCTCTTTACAAGAAGTGCAATTTAAAAAAAACCTAAAAATTAAAAAAAATCGCTTCCCCTCGGGAGCCACAATGTACGAACAAATTCACATTGAAAACTCGACTAGAAAATTTGTTCATATACCCTGTTTCTGATCAAAGAGTGAGAAGGTAAAGAGTGTAGGGCCAGTGGCCGAGCTTGGGGCAGGAAGAGATAAATATCGCTACTGATACTGACAGCCATTCCAGCAACCAAGATTGCTACGTCACATAAACTATAAAAACGCATTACCAAAAGGGGAGGAAAAAAACGGGGAAAGGAGGTGGGGGGGCAGCAGAGAGAGAAAATGGAAGAACGTTAAAATAAAAAAGCAATCAAAGAATGGTGGGATGGGGGGAGACTCTCCTGGCGCACAGCCCCGAGCCCACCATCACAGGTGGGTGAGCTTGGGCGCTTCCTGAATTCTTCCCTGAGAAGGATGGTGGGCGGTAAGGTCCGTATAGGTGGGATGAGGCTCCCCAGGCCCAGGCCCATGGTGGTGGCCGCTGCCCAGCGGCCCAGCACTCGCATAGTCCATGGCGCCTGAAGCAGCGTGGGGGAGGTGAGTTAGGCCAAAGAGGGCAGGCCCGGAGTTGCTCATGGGCTCCACATAGCTGCCCCCCACGAAGACGGGGCTTCCCTGTAAGTGTGGGGTCCCATAGCTACCGTTGCCCTGCAGGCCATGAGCGTGTGGATCATAGTCAGGAGTGCCTCCTGAGCCCGCCCCGGTCGCTGTGTAGCGCTTCTGTGGAGGTGGCGGTGGCGCGCAGCTGGGCAGGGGCGCGGGGTAGGAGGCAGGGGGCAGCCCATAGGCGCCCTGGGGGGGCTTGGAGAAGGGCGGGGGCGACTGGGGCTCATATGGGACGCTGTTGACCAGCGAATGCATAGAGTTCAGATAGCCGCCAGCGCCGGGTGGCACCGGACTGCGACTTGGGGACTGGCCCCCAGATGACGTTAGCATTCCCTTGCCCTTCTGATCCTTCTTGTACTTCATGCGACGATTCTGGAACCAGATCTTGATCTGGCGTTCTGTGAGGTTCAGCAGGTTGGCCATCTCCACCCGGCGAGGCCGGCACAGGTAGCGATTGAAGTGGAACTCCTTCTCCAGCTCCACCAGCTGCGCGCTCGTGTAGGCCGTGCGCGCGCGCTTGGATGAAGCCTGCCCAGGCGGGCTTTTATCCCCAGCGCAGCTCTCGCCTGCGAGGACATAAGAGAGGGCAAGAGCCGCGTCATGGACTGCCTGGGGCCCCTCCCAGCCCCGGACCCAGACTGGCCCCTACTTCCTCCAGGCCTCAAACAGCTAGCCCTCCTTTTATCTGGCCCAAAGAGGAATAGTCTCAAAAAAAAAAAAAAAA